GGGAATCATTTTACCCTATTTTCCATATATTTCATTTTTTGGAGAAAAATAATTTGAATAAAACCCAAATAAGTCCAAATTAAAAATAATTTTTCAAAGGGACTTTAAATTGGATTTATTTTAAACTCCCAACACGTATTTCATATGGTTTGAAGAAGTCATTTTATCTTCTCTCATGAAAATCATTGAGTTGCTTGAAGTTTCTGAATTTGAAATCTTTCTAAATGAAATTCAAATATTTTCAAAAACCCTTTTCATTTATTTAAATGGAAGAAGTCATGTCATCTTCTCTCTAGGGTTGTGTATTTGAAAAGAATTTGAATTCAAGGAGAACAGAAATGCAAAAATGAAAGTTTGGGAAAGTACTTTTATTCCCTCTCATTTAACTTTCGAAAGTTTCAAATTTCACTCACTTCACACAATCAATCAAACAATCAATCAAAACTATCTATTTAATATAACATTCCAAAATTTAGAATTTTGGGATGTTACAACTCGGTTGGGTGGAAGAGATTCCTCGTTGGCAAGAATCTTCGTGTTGGACAGGCCATCCTAATTGCTATCAGGAACGCCCACCGCCAAGGCTTGAGGATGATGATCGTTGTTGATATCATCTAGAACTACATATGTGTGTGTGTGGCTATATCATCTAGAACTACGTATGATGATTGTCATCGATATCATGTAGAACTACATATGATGATCGTCGTCGATATCATCTAGAACTACATATGGTGATCGTCGTCGATATCACCTTGTACTGCTTGAGGATGCATGTTGACTATATATGAAATTGTTATCTAGTACTTCCTCCGTTCCAAATTACTGGTCGTGGTTTTAGTTAATGGTCGCGGTTTTAGTTGAACTAAAACCACGACCAGTAAACTAAAACCACGACCAGTAATTTGGAACGGAGGGAGTACTACCTAATACCTATAATACTTTATGAAATTGATATTTAGTATTACCAGTATGTTTATTGAAACTGAAACTGGGTAGGAAGCCAGGGGAAATGATGAAACACATAGCAGTAGCGCGGGGCTAGGAAAGCACTGCAGCTAACTAATAGTAGCGTGTTCCGGAAAAGCGCTGCTGATATAGTCGATAGAAGTAGCGAGGGCTCAGACCGCGCTATTGTTAACAGTTAGCTGTAGCGCCTTATTAGTAGCGCGGCTGCCCACGCCGCTGATAGCCTCAAAACCCGCACTACTACTAGGGTTTTCTCTAGTAGTGATGTTGAAGGCAAAAGTTTATGTGGTCCATTCTTCAGTAATTGCGGGTCCTCGGCCCGGCCCACGAATGGTAGGCCGACGTGCTGTGCACCACCTAATCGAGGACACTGTCAGTAGCCCCTGAACTAGTCTTCAAGCCGAAGACATTTGCTCCTTCCTTGAAACAACTTCATCTTTCTGGTCCTCGGCTTCGTAGGCGAGTTCCATCTTCCACGTCGGCTTCTAAATCCGAGGATATACTCGGATCCAAGGTCTTTTTTATGCTCCACCATCGGTTTCTCCTCCAATTATGACCACCCATAAATTTGTGTTTTGATTTATTCGAGGTGATAAGGGGTATTATTTAACAAGGTTAATTTTTACCAGCTCGGAAGACTCCCTTGGCTTAGCTGCGAAGGCTCGTCATGTGGTCACAGTAGGCTGAGTGGGTCAAGCCTGACAAATTTCGGCCGAGAACTAAACCGTCACCACTCGTCAAAGAGCCAAGTCGTCTTGTCGACAGTTATTACTGGGTATATCATGGCCTGAGGCTATTTCTATTGGCACATCCCATCAATAAAGGGATTGTGCTCTCGATTTTCAGCGATTTCATCAACAAAATCCCTTAATCCTTGCACCCATATATTGCACGTCGTATTGGGAATTGATGATTTTTACTGCGCGGAGTGGTGACCCTTGGTCTTTTACTGGCCTATAAAAAGGGAAACGGTAAATCTATTTTACACACGCTCTCATTCCTTACTCCATCACCAAGAACTGTCGAAAGCTCAAGCACTCCGAGATCTGCCTTATGCTCCATTTTCTTCCCACTCCCTTCCTCCATCACAAAAGATGGTCGACAAGAGGAAAGGTGCTGCTGCAGTCGCCGACCCTGCCACTGGGCACATCATTGACGGGACCGAGCACAAGGATGCCAGCAGTCAGGTTGACCCTCGCTTGTAGAACTACGCGCACAAGCCAATTCACGCAAAAACTCAGGCTGGTGGGGCAATGTGGGCAATGCATTTATACGTCAACACTTTCCCTCATGTGCGCCCCCCTCAAACCTAAACATGGACCGAATGTGGTTTGCAATCTTTATTTTTAAATTGCATCAGTTGGGTCTTGAACTCAAGACCTCTTGGCCCTGATACCATGTAGAACTGCACATACGAGTCAATTCACCCAAAAGCTCAAGCTGATGGGGAAAGATTGACAATGCAGTTATATTTCAACATCGTGGACAAAAACATGCGGGCACGATGGTTCGGAACCGGGAGGAGGGCACAGTGCTATGCTGAGATCCATGGTTTATGGGAAGAGGGTATGATTGAACTAGAGGAGCACATGGTGGGTGTGGTCGGCGACGGACTAGGAGAATGGTGGCAGGAAGAAATAACGGAAATCCTATCTTGCGGCTGTTCGCTGGGAGAGGGGCGGTAAAATAACTACTTTTGATGGCAGTTTTAGTTCTAAGACAAGGTCAGGCGGTAGCGGTTTTAAACGAAAAAGTGTCTTCTTTGACAGAAACTGTCATGTCACTTTGAAGAAACTGTCTCCCCCTCACAACTAAAACTGCCAACGAAATTGTTCGCAAATGCCACACCCTCCTGGCGGATGTTCGCTAGCTAAGGGGATCCAAAAATAAACCCAACTCAACGTTATCACAATTTATTTTTTGACGGTGCTACGGCGGGCTTAAGACGGTCTTAACCATTTTCATTATAAATAAGAGTGAGATACAATACATCGGGTACAACAGATAGCACCCAAGACATGCAAGAACTTCGGGTGCCCACACCCAAGAACAACAGATAGCACCAAAGAACAACAGAGATGACAACTAAAGAACTAGGAGTGCGTCGCGACAAAAAGAGCCAACACCGAGAACTTAGCACCCATTGGCACTAGGTAGACCGAGAAGAACGGGAGCTAGCTTTGTTTGATGAATTGAAAGGAGATCCACCGCCGAGAAGATGAATAGAGAAATTCTCCAGATGCTTTGCGATCACTCTGCACCTTGAAGAGATAGGAAGTCACAGACACCATCAAAGGGCATCCCACTACCTAGGCACGTCACCACAGAGAGAGCCATACACTATGCCGAAGGGTAATGATCCGCCGAGACAGCCACACCCTGGCCACCATCACAATTAGAGGGATCTAAAGCACTATGCAAGGCAACAGAACCTCATGCGCTGTCGAAGGGTACCGAAACCCGAGACGTCAACGCCACGACGAGCCCCCAAGAGATAGGTCAACCCTCAGAACTAGGATGACCAAGGCACCGGTAGCCGCCACAAATCACATCCGCCACCACCACCTGTCAACCCAACCATCCAATAACCGCTCCAACCCAGACATCAGACAACCAACCATGAATCCATGACTCCAAAACAACGCCCCATGAGGGGAAACGCCATCGTAGATGTCGTCGTTCTTCGATCCAAAGAAGGGTCTTAGGCTTTCGCTCGGAGCACATGAAAGAGCGACCATGGAAGCCCCTAATGACGCCTTCATGAAGGGAAACGACACCCCAAAGCGTCACCATCATTGTTGCCGACTAGGTCGACACTAGGCTTTCACTTGGAACATCCCACCCCCGGTCATCTCCGCATAGCCGACCGCCGAGTCTGACAGTGCAAATCTCGCTGCCCTCCTTTCACTCCATGGCGAGCGTCCCCCGCTAGGCCAGAAGGAGGCTTCCAAAGCCAAAGTCGCTCACCTCGAGCACCTGTACATATCGGAGTCAGGTCACACCATGTTGTCGCCTGCATCCAATCCTTCACTGCC